GCTGACCCACCACCCCCTCACCCGGCGGAAAGACGCTCTAGGACTCCCCCCCCCGCCCCATCCCCCTGCCGCCCTGACTTCATATGTAAGAAAACCCGTTTTGACATGACTGTTACCCACCTATAAATACTGTGAGGCGCGATACTACACTCACCTCCGACGATGGAAGCTTGCATGCTTTTGAAACGTCAGGACAGTAAAACTATGGTTCCCGAGATCGCCTTTTCTTCTCAATTATGTCCGGGGACGCGCATCTTCGCTTCTATTAGCAATATATATGTATATACATGTACATATAAATTAGTAAATATATAAGCGAGGGGAGAAATAAGAATGCGGGTAGATTAATACAGTACTGTTTCGGGCTTATTCTGCCTTCATTCAGCCAATCATAACCCTGACCAGCAGCTCGGAGCAGAAACACAAACATGCGCACAGACACATCTGGTGCAGTTGGTCCACCAGTGGGACCCATCAGGTAGGTCATAAGCACCTCGTGGAACAAAAGTTCATCAATGCCTCGCAACCCTTCATTCTTTTTCCCTGCAGATCGGGTATTTATTCAATCAGAAATGGGCTCACATTGATCTATTGGCTCTCCGAATCAAACACGCTCCGTATGGGTGGCAAAGATCACGAACAGACAACCAACCATCAGGCCGAATTCGGCCAAGTCATGATAGTAACATCCTCTGTCGTCCCATATGTCATCCCGTTCATCATCCCAAAAGAAGACGAAGAAGAAAAAGAGGCGGTTTTAATGACCCCACTGCACCAATACCGTGTCGTCCATGAAATCGCCTCTTTCTCTTCGACTTCTTCTGGGGATGATGGATGGGATAATTTATTTAGACCTCGAATCTCCACTCATGCTGATATATATATATATATATATATAGCAGCGAGGAGGGACGACAGAGAATGCGGGTAGATTGATACAGCACTGTTTCGGGCTTATTCTGCCTTCATTCAGCCAATCATAACCCTGACCACCAGCAGCTGGGACCTGAAACACAAACATGCGCACAGACGCACCTGGCGCAGTCGGTCCACCACTGAGGCCTAACAGATGGGTCATAAGCACTTCATCGAACCGAAGTTCATCAGTGCCTCGCCACCTGTCATTCTCTGTCGCTGCAGATCGGGTATTTATCAATCAGGAATGGGCGCACACCGACCTATCTACCCGCATTCTCTGTCGTCCCTCCTCGCTGCTATTATGACTTGGCCGACTTCGGCCTGGTAATTGGTTGCCTGTTCGTGACCTTTGCCACACATACGGAGCTTGTTTGCTTTGTGAAGCCAATAGATTGGTGTGCGCCTATTCCTGATATATATATATACTAGCTGGACCCCGCCACGCGTTGCTGTGGCTCAGGTGGATTCAAAATCTCTGTTGGATCAGCGGGCATTCCCAATTGCCAGCAATTACTGTGAGAATACCACAGCTGATCCGTGGTTTTGCAGCTGGACACGCATATTTGTAGTTAACTTTGCCACAAAAAAGTATTTCAGGCAGGCATTTATTTCGTCTGCTGTTTTCGATGGAGGAATTACAGGAAGTATTTACCTGAAGTCTCCTGCAAGAAGTAGCAGTAATCTCCAAATTGCCTGCTTTTTTCCGCGCAAATCTTGCAGTGTTCGATCGAGGGCCTCGAGCGCTTTTTTGCTCACGGCGCAAATCCGCATCTAACGAAACAACAGAAAACCGGTTTGATGAGGACATTCCCGGTTTGATAAAGAACATATCCCCAATCACTATTAACGCCTCACTGTAGATTCCTGCTGTGAAATCCGCATTTGGAATTTTTTGCGTAGTTGACAGAAGATATCCTCAGCCATGTGCGATTTATATTTCTCCCCATAGATCTGTTGGAGATGAAGTAGTGCAGGCGGTCAGTATGATTGCAAACAATGTACGAATTCGATTCGGATGGGACGTGCTGCACACAACACTAATGCAAACATCCCAGTGTCGGTCATTTTCCAATAAATTGAGGGCCTGGCAAGCACTGAGAAATGTGGCGTGCGTAACGCCGTTGACAGATTTCAATTGCTGGAAAGACGTTGAACCGGACACATTCACCAACACCGTTCGGAATAAGAACCATTCGTCCTGATTGGGATGCACGCGTGCAGTCTGCCTATCGCAGTTCTTCTGAATATGCCGAGGTGTCCATCCACTCGGTTTCCTCGTTTGCGTCGTACAAAAGATTTTCTGCACGCATTCCGTGTAATACGTAGGCACTTCCCAATACAGCAGTGTTTTCGCAAACGCGTCAGTTTGACTTAACGGGAAGAACGCAGTTAATGTGCGTTGCCGGTGGCCTGTTGCACATTTGCATCAGTAAAGTAAACACATTGCTCATTCACTAAGTGTACTGCAAGTGAACAACACCTGTACTTCGCTCATGGATGGGAAAAGAATCCGCCACACGGCCTTGTGGCGGTTGACGCATCTTTTAGCCCAATACTGTACGATTTCCTCGAGTTGTATGTCCACATCCCTTTCCCTCGTTTCCTGTTGCAGGTCAAATCAGCCATGTCGCTGCCGTTGCTCACGTACTTACAAATGTACCAAATGCAATTCCCGGAATTGCAGTTTTCCACGTTTATGTGAACTTCGTGTGCTTTTAAAAGCAAAGGCGAATACGAAACAACCCAACGGTTACCGACTTGTACGTCACGGGTTCGCATTCGTACGGTTGCAAAGTTGTCGACGTCTTCCGCTGATCGTCTTCGGTATAAGGGACTTCCGTCGTTACCGGTAACTGTGGTGCATACGAATGCCCGGAGATATCTCTTAGAACGTTTTCCGTCTATCATACCGGGAGGTGAATGTTGAGGGGGGAGGGAGAGAATTGGGACTCAGGGCACCGCAAAGTCCATTAAACATATTCTCGTCGCGACTTTGGGCAAATCATTGTCGACGTCGGCGTCAGGTAATTCAGCGCATATCGCATCGGCGATTTCGTTGGAGGTGATCTTGCTATATAGCCAGATCTAGCTGTTCCTTGCTGGCGCCATTCAGCCACTCTCAGCTTGTTGTTCTGTTGCTGAACGAAGCAGACCGGAAGCAGCAGAATGCGGTCGCCGTGACCGCAACCGGGCTTCCTCAAGCCGGGCTGCACGACACTAAGCTGACATTGGGTGTCTGTCCCCTTATGTGGGTTGTGCGTGTGGGGAGGGGGGAAGTGGGCTTTGTTAACCGCATCCAGTCGTCGCGCCCGAGAATCCCAGCGGAAGCGGCGACAGCCAAATTAATGAGGGTAGTGTGGGGCAAGTTCAAGTGGAGCCCAAGAGTCGCATGCTTTTTTTGCCGCAGGGTGAGTGTTTTGCTCTGGCGGCCCATATTGCATCGGCCCAGAGAGGGTGGAGGGCCTGCTCAAGTGCCTGTAGGGTGGGTGGTGGTGTGGGCGCGGCCGTCGGGTGGAGCGCGTGCGTTTGAGCGAATGTCGGTCAAGTGGCCACAGTCTGGGCGCACATGTGTCCGCGCGCGATGTAGGTCAAGTGGCCGCAGCAGGTGGCGTTGTTATGCCGGAAAAAATCCCGTTTTTTACCCATCACAGGCA